CAAATCATTGATGTAGGTCGCAACAAGACGCCATCGAAGATAATTATGAACCATTCGGGCAAACAACGGACTTAATGTTATAGAAAGTGAATAATCTTTGACTAGGACAAGCAATTATATGTATACTTCTCAAGATCTGTTACCAATTCAAAAGCATCGGTAAAATACATGTTGTTTGTCAAATAGATTGGTGTCAGTACTGAGATAGCCTCTGGATCGTCTAATTCATGGGAAATTAATCGATCAAATTCAAACTAGAAAAAAAAGCATATAAATTTCTTTTATGACGTTTTGCTTAGTTTTTACAAAAAATTGTGCTGATATCTCTTGTAAATTCGTTGTTCTTGGTACATTGGTAGTAGGATTACGTCGAAGACTCTAAATAATCGAACGATAATGTAATCTATTTGAATCGATCATAACGAAATACATACGTCCGCTAGAAATTTTTCAATAGTGAATACATCATTCGCAACAGTAAACGCTCGATCTTCGACATTTATATCTGTTATTCCTGCATCTTTAGCAAGTAATTTCATTATTTCAATAATATATATTTGAAACGCTGCGCGACGCTAAAGGATGAAATCAAGTGTTGGAGATATTTTTACATGCATTTGAATCAACCAGAAAAAAAGTCAGGAGAAATGCAAATAATATCATGTATAGGTCATGATATGAAGAGATATTCACAATGCTTGATGTTTTATGATAGAACGAATTTTATTATTAGGGGCATCTCTTATAGAAATCTTTTGATATGTTTTGAAATAGGTGTAAGCAATGTTACTCACTGCAGTTGATATCGGATCATCTTCCCCATAGTCAGTCACTTCCATTGATAGACCAGCTGGATACAACTTGATAAACAAAACAAAAAATATGAAATTTTCGTTTACAAGTTTTATTATATTTTTTTATACTTCAAGACGTTTTATGGTTGGATCGTTTTCATCAAATCTTGTACGTATACCAAATACAGCGAGGGCACCTAATCGAGACGTAAACATTTATATAATGTAAATATAGGATTTTTATTAACTTGCCAAAATCGCCATGAATATGAGACATTTGTTGATAGAGAGTTTG